TTGAACAAATTGACGCCTAGCTATTGTTTATTTTAGGTGATAATAAATAAACTCTGGTTTGGATTAAGTCTGGAAGATTCAATAGACCGTCCACGCCTGCATAATGCTCTCTATCCCAATACAACCTACTACGAGACAAAATACCAAGTCTCCAAGTCTGTTAGTGACGGTCTCAAGGCGCTTGGACACACTCTGAAAGGTTCGAATTCGTTTTGCGCAGTACAAGGCGTCTATAGGGACAAATCGGGAAAATTGTATGCTAAATCTGATCCTAGAAAAGGTGGAGTGGCTGTGGTATTGTGAGCGGAAAACGTCATGTTTTGGTGTAGATATAACCAGTCTGTTCAAACATATATGCAATAAATCATCCTAACTAAGAAAATTGTAAATTTTTTAGCCTGGTTTCCATATGGTCGTAACGGTCGTAAAGATTGAGTCATGACCTTTCTCATCCGAGACGAAATACAAGAGAGGTTAAGATACCCCGGTTTCGGTGTACGGGTACGAGTTGTGTCATCTTGTTTTACTGATGTCTGCAATACGATCATACTTTTTCTGTTTTCTTGCAATAGACAATGATATAACAGGGCTCGAAATAACGGCCGATCAACGATCAATGATCGGCAGGAAATTGCTTTTGATCGGCAGAGAAGCAAGATTATCGATCATCTTGATCGGCAAGAACCATCGTCTCAAAAACATGGTTAATATCGTTAACAGACACCATGCAATACTACGGTATTATCACAGAACATATAAACACAACGTATCCTATACCGATTGGCCAGATTTTCATTTGATCAGCAGAAAATCATGACTGCTTATCAGCATGATCGGGGACGTTGGAAACGTTATTTCGAGCCCTGATCAATGATATAATGAGAATAATGTGCACCTTAATTACGGGTAAAGGTACGGACATCGACGAAAATATTGCTAACCAAAATCATGCTATACCCGTACACGTACACGTACACCGAAACCGGGGTATCTTAACCTCTCTATTATAGAACTGAAAATACACGATTATAACTAGAAAACACTTGATATGTGATTTACAAGTATAAACTGGCCGTTGAGAAAGATCGTGACCCTATTTTTACGACCATATAGAAACTCCAGACTTTATATACGTGGGATTTTACTGTAAGGGATACAAAATGCTGCTGATTGAACTTGACAACATTTGATGTTTTTGTAATTTTATGTTCTGTATCGTTCAACGAGTGTTAGAGGGATTTAGAGTAAAAATATATATCAAAATAAAGCAAATCTGAGTGTAGCTTACTAAATGCAAAATGCTCATCTGTATATAACGGTATATATTGCATAGAGACTCGATTTGTCAGCTATTTATGTAATATATACCGGTACAGTACAACATGAGCGGACGTGTTGTATCACATGTAGAAATTTATTGTTGTAGGGAAAAATAGGGGTGAGGGGATTGATATATGAATAAAAAATAAGTATGAACTTTAAAGATTGCTTTAGGGGCGGACCATTAGAAAAGTGATGGGGGAGGGGGACTTTTTCAACTTGTACGAATAGTTTTTTTTTAATTTTTTGCTTGTGTCGATAATTTTTTTAAATATAATCCCTTGCCCGAATTTTTTTTTATATCAACTTATAATTTTCCCTATTGAAAAGTCTCTGCACGAATTTTTTTTTCAAACATTTTTGGTGCACGAATTTTTTCTTTCTGTTCCCCTGCGCGATTTTTATTTTTGCTTCCCCCCCCCCCATCACTTTTCTAATGGTCCGCCCCTTACCTTTAGAATAACCGTTTCAATTCAAAATGCATGTTAGTTTTAAATTACTTAATAACCTGAAAATGTATCAATGGGCTTTAAATTATTAAGTTATACAGGGTGTATAAAAAAAAGCAATCCAACTTCAGTGTGTTTGCGTGCGTTAGGCCAGTTTCAAACGTCGCGCTTCTCATGTGCCGAACGCATTAGAAAAAATAGATAATGATTATCTATTGTTTTAATGCGTTCGGCACATGAGAAGCGCGACCTTTGAAACAGGCCTTAGATATTGAGTTTATCGTTTAACTTTTCAGCATGAAAATTCAGGCTTTTAGCTGTCCAATGATACCTTTTTTGTATCATTATATTAAGAGAAAATGGCCAAATACGAAACGAATAAAAATTGCCTTTGGAAATCGATTTTACCACCGTTTGGAATTTGGTGAAAAACTATACTGAAAGTAAA